TGAGCTCTCCGGATTTCATCATCCTTGGGATTATCCATACAGATTGCCAGGATTTTCGTTACTTAACTCTCTCTCTCTCTCTCTCTCTCTATATATATATATATATATATATATATATAAGCAAGTGTAAATGGATATAAATCCGAGAGAATGAAGAAATTTTGAAAAAACAAACAAAAAAACTTAAATGTAGTTAAAATGAAAGAAATATATATATATATATATATATATATATATATATATATATATATATATATATATATATGTAAAAAAGATCAAGATATTTAAGCTATATATGTCCGATGCTGCGTTGGGTAATCAACGAAACTTAAGTCGCACACCAAATCGAAAGAATATGTATATTTAATTATATGTATTTCTTTGCTCATTCTAACTACACCAAGCACTATTATGTTCATACCTCATTTGCTAAAATTGGTGATTAATTATTTGCTTACCTGTGTATGCACCCCAGCACGCGCGTATACGGTTGCTAATGTCTAATTATTTTATTTATCAAACACTATACCTATCTCTCTCTCCCCCCCATATATATATATATATATATATATATATATATATATATATATATATATTATTCTTGAAATTCCATACGGATTATCAATATTTTTATTATAATTAAAAATAGTTGTAATCCGTATGGAATTTCCAAGATGATATAGATCCAGTAGGAGCTCTATGTCAGAGACAGAGCAATTATTATTATATAATGAAATAAATATCACCTAATGGTATTATAAGTGACTGTTATTAATTATATATATATATATCATTGGTGTTGTATAACAGGGGCTTCAAAATATTAAGTGATATCTTATATATTTATATTTTTTTATTTTTGAACATCTAAAATACCACATGTATTATATTTATTAATACTCTAGATATAGTATTGTTGAAAAATAAGATTTAAAATTTAGAAATTTAATTACGCATATATAACTTCCTTTTTTGAGATCAAATAATAGATATATAATTGCAATTTTTAAAAAATGAATTATGCTTGAACTTAAACATAATGCAATGACTCCAGAAACAGTTATTTGTTTTCTTTGACTTAATACATCTTTATTTTTAAGGATCTTAGTAATATATAACTTTTCATGTAGGCACAAATATATGTATAGTTGAAAGTCCTCGTTTTTTAAATAATTTCCATTTTACTGGGAGTGTTTTATTTGAAACTTTTAACTGCCAAAAATATTTGGATAGGAATATTTGGTTACGGACACATTATATTTGAAGGAAGACAGATGTTGGCTCCACATAAATTTAAAATTATTTTTAGTGTTACTAATATATATAAGTAAATATCATATAAAAGTTTATGATGTCAAGTTTTTATGCTGAACTCTTTCATAATTGGCAGTGACTTTGTTCAATCCTAAGAGAGTGCTTCAAATTAATGAACTTGTGCCAAACAAAGTTTACTAATTAAAAAACTGTCTATAAGGAAGATTTCAACCCGAAGCCTAGAATTACTGTTTACATTTTATATCTTTCTATGGGAATAAGATAAGGGACGTTGTAGAATAATGAAAGAGACGTAAAAGCTTTCTTAATATTGAATAGTTTTATTTTCACATGGGAAAGAAATGGGATTATTTTCTTTGCTTCCTGCAGGTAAATTAATGGACGATCAGGCATAAATAAATAACGCAGAAAGGTATGTTAGTATTTAAATGTTTGATAGATTAAAGACAAAATGACTTTAACATGCAGGTCTCAAATCTACATACACGGTCCTACTTTCATATTGTGTTAATCTCATGCAAAACTGAATGTTATTATATCCTCTTATGTATTTCGTTGCATGTGTATTATTTGGAAGAAAACTGCATATTTTATAATACACACGTTATATATATATATATATATATATATATATATATATATATATATATATATATATATATATATATATATTAGCTCACACTGTTTGCCGAGCACGCCAAAGACAAGAGGCTACGCGGAGGCCCAAAATGGCGCTTCAAGTATCGGTTGAAAGCATTCATGGTACAGGCCAACATCGGCCCTGATACCTAGTAAACCGTTGTTGCAAATTGGCTTTCCTCGCGTTGGACATGAAGAGGATCATCGACATGTTGTCAAGAGAGCCCAAATAGCCTTTCCGCGTTCACTAACCACACTCCTTTGTGTATTCTTTCTCGCAACTCTTTACTGCCATCTTCGTAAACCCCTACCAGAGAAGAGAAATGGAATACGGAGAGAGGATGACGATCCCGATACTCGAATGCTAACTGGTGCCGACGAATACAGAAATGTTTTATTAAACACACAGATACACACACACACATAATTTTTTTAATCAGCAATATTCACCCAAAAAGTTTGATTACAAAGAACCGACAAGGTCTCTCTTTTTAATTTGTTTATTTTATTTTTCCAGTTTCAAGATAAGCTGTTGAATATTCGGCTCGAAATTGTGCATAAAGTGTCCAATGTTCATATTTTGTTATTTTTATTTAAGTACTTTCGACTGTCGCAGTTATTATCAAGAACCTATATAATGTTTGTGCTTTGTCTGCATCCTGTTATTCTTTGGAAAGCGGAACGTTTGAAATGGCTTAGTGAGACCTCTTGTATAACGGTTTTTAGGAACGTGTACGCATGAAAGAAACGTGAATTGTTTCTTTCTTTCTTATAAAGCTGGTAAAATATGTGCACACAATAATTATATCGTATGCACTTTATTATACCTACTCCTATGGTAAAAGTTATTTTATTTAGTGTGCGATGTTTATTTTGTATAATAAGAACATCGAGATTTTTAAATATTTCCTTGCATTGAGTCTTGTGGTGTATTTTGGTATTATCTACTAGTAGTTGTCTAATATACATCGTTCTGCTGTAGTTCAACATTTTATTTAAAATTGGTAAAATATAATACAATTTAAACAAACAGACCTTTTCGCCTACATTTTTAATCAAACTTGTTTGTATATCTGTCTATATTTCTGAGATGAGATATTGTAATCATTTACATTATTTACATTGTTCGAAATATTAATCCACATCTATGTTGATATATTCCTGACATTTCGGCCGTTGTACGCTCCGGCTCTTCAAGTGATTTGAATTTTGAAACAAACACTTCGTTTCGCCTATCTGGTCCAGTGGACAAATGCGTTGGTTGAAATAATCTAGTGACTTGAAGAAAAGAGTTGTTAGTTCAAAATTTGGCTACTGCAGACAATTTAATTAAAGAGAAATAAATCATACTGAGATGTACGGAAGTGGCATGGAATGTGGAACTAGAATAATCTATTCCGGAGAAACCCGATCTAGAGCCTGTCACGATGAACGGATATCCCCTCGGAGAAGCACTGTGTCCAGAAAGACTATTGTGGTTTAAACTCACAAATAACCTATAGCAGAATGCATACAACCCAAGGAATTGCTAAAGATGCAGGTAAAATTTTCTGCTCTTTGTACCGCTCTAGTAATTATAAAGATCCACGGGCTATCCTCAACTTTTAGAAGAGCCAGAGTAGGCCCAAAATGGAGTAATGTTGTCATATTAAGGAAAGAACTGCCCAGTCATCACGTTGCCGTCTTGATAGAGTGCAGACGCGTCTCGGCGTCCTTGGCGGTGAAGAATTATTTTCTACACAACAACACCTTTCTTACAGGCGTGATGTGGCGAGACTCACGCTGCACTATCGCTACATTGACGGAAAGTGCTTGGGCGAACTAAATTCCTTGTTCCGATATTTCTAACCTTCACGACTAGGAAACGCCATTTCACTTACTTTGCAACAAACTACACACAGTTCCTCCGTAATTCATCGGTAAGAAGTAAAATCAACACGAATAGATTCTTCTCCGTACGTCACCTCCGTGGAAACGATTTCCAAGAGAACGTCTACCCGATCGCTACAATCTTAACCTTTTCATGGCTAGGGTTAACCGTTCTGTCTCCTTCCTTTCCGTACAAACTGCATCCTAACGTAATGATCTATCTCGAGTCGCTTTGTATAGCTTGAACCTCACTGACAAAAATGGAAGGCAAATAGACAATGAACACACACACACACACGCACCCCCTCCACACACACACATATATATATATATGGAGAAAGTGATAGATAGACAGATAGATAGATACATATGTGTTTGAATATGTTTAGCACAACATTATATATATATATATATATATATATATATATATATATATATATATATATATATGTACATATATATATATATATATATATATATAAATATAAGATAGATAGATATATAGATAGATATGCGTGCCTGAATATGTTTAGCACAACGTTATTAATTTTATATATATATGTGTGTGTGTGTGTGTGTGTGTGTGTGTGTAATTTACATATTTTTCCTTTCCTTTATATTTATATCCTTGATTTTTTTTCTGTATTTCATGTAGGCTTTCCTCGATTTTTTCTTCAGCTATTAATAATATTTCTCAATATACCATCATGACGAAATGTGCTTATTTTTTTCTTCTCTTTCCTTGCCTCTCTTTGACGGTGTGAAACGAGCGAGACACAGTCAACCCAACACAGTTATTATTTTCTTAGGAATTCAAAGCCGAAATTAATAATTATAGATTAAGTATTTTTCTTTAACGCATTCACCAACATTTTCATTCAGGCGCAGATTTAAATTATCTGTGGCATGAATGATAGAAAAATTCTTATATACTTATCTACGTTTTTTATTCCTCTTTTACGTCGGTGTATGAAAATTATATGTAGTATGTATGCTTTTCTTTTGGTCTGTTAAAATGAGAGCATGGTATTTTATTACTGACAAATTGTATATACATACATACTCACGCACACGCACTCACCCACGCTCGCACACCCACACGCGCACGCACGCACACACACACAAACACACACACACACACATATATATATGTATGTATATACATATATATTAATTAAATATAACTAATTTTTGTGTAATTTTTTCTGATTTTAAAGTCTCCGTCTTTCTCTTTCTTTCTCTCTCTCTCTGTCTCTGTCTCTCTCTCTCTCTCTCTGTCTCTCTCTCTATGTCTCTCTCTCTCTCTCTCTGTATCTCTCTCTCTCTGTATCTCTCTCTCTCTGTTTCTGTATCTCTCTCTATCTCTATCTCTCTCTGTTTCTGTATCTCTCTCTCTCTCTGTTTCTGTATATCTCTCTCTCTCTCTCTCTCTCTCTATATATATATATATATATATATATATATATATATATATATATATATATATATATATATCGGAGGTCAGCTGAATCCGCCACCTTGATACCGTAAGGTTGAAACTAAGGTAGCGTATACAACTGACCTCCTGATTTTTAAATTTAAAGCTCTTCGTGTTATTTTTACCTATTTTTTTTTCACACGTGTATTGAAAATCTTATAAGACTACTATTTCCACGTCTGACCATTAAGCTTTCATGTATTTCACAAAAGTACCTTGGAATACTAAAGAGAAATGTAATTCAATAAAATCGCCATTTGCTTCAACCACAGCCGCCAGAAAACTTCGGAATCTCCTCCATCTCTTCTGGGCGGTCGCCTTGTTTAATTTGCTGAATGCTACCATAATCTTTCCCTGCAGTTCATTTTTGATGCTACAAAGAGTTTTAATAGTCTCTATTTCAACTGCGCCCCACACATAATAATCAAAGAGGTTGCAGTCTGATTAGACAAGTGCTCAGATATAATGGGTGATATTTTCACAGAAATTGTCTGACAACCATGACTGAGTTCACCTGCTTGTGTGACATAGAGCAGTGTCATGTTGCCAGATATAGTGTCTGCCCGCAGCCACCCTCTTTGACCCAGAGCAGCATTACCTCATCAATGATGTATGCATCCGTGTTGAGTCAAAAGATGAATGGGAAGATGAATGGTGTCATAACGCCGCCCGAAACAACTTCGTAATCACAAACTCATCGAACTGTTTCCGAAACCTCTACACCGTCCTCAGATTGAAACCTAAAGACACGGAAATGTTCGTTTTCATGCTTACGATAGGAATGCCAAGTAGAACTTCATTCCGTTTCCCAATTTTTGTCGGAGGGAATTACGACATGTTGTGGCTCTTAATCTCACAGATGTTGTCCAACTGACCTTACTATACTGTGCAATCGACAAAGACAAAAACAAGCAACGCGTAAAATTAAAAATATAAAATGGCAACAAGTTAGTCTTCGCATCCTGGATATATATATATATATATATATATATATATATATATATATATATATATATATATATATATATAATGACTTTACTTTCTACTCTATTTCAAAAATAATAATGCATGGCCAATTGTTTGCTAACGTGGTTAGGCAATCCCTCTTGTTGACTCTTTCTCAGGACCATTTCTCTTAACATCTGTCGATATTTCTTAGATGATGCATTGTAACTATTTCAAGTATTTACAATTTTGGGACTGTTGCCCTCCCCTGGGCTAAATAAGGATTTCAATTAGAAATTCCAACGGATATCACTTGAAGATGGCCGGGGTGTACAATGACCTTAACCTTGTGAACGTGGTAATAAAGATGAGGGCCACTGTCCGAATAGTGTAAATACTTTTTTCTTTCTTCGCCACCCACAGAGGAAAAATCTAATTTATACTGCAACCAGGGTGATTGATCTTTTGTTACACTTTTTGCCAGAGACCGCCTCAGGGCTAGCACGCTCAAATTCTCGGCCAGGATGACTTGAGACTGTGTGTGAGAAGAAACATCGTCGATCAAATCCGTCTGCACATATTCATCCACAAGGGGTGGTTTTGCTTTCTGGCTCATTCTGACGATTCCTTATGCTGTGATTTCTCTCCAGGACGATAACATCAAGATGTCATCTTCCTGATAAATCGAACATGGTCAGATTCGAGACCTGGTCTCATTTTCAGAATTTTCTAACCACTCGGTCACGAGATCATATATGTGCATGTAGGTGTATATGTTTGTACTTCGTTTTTATGTGTATGTCAAAACTGGCCGGCGATTTTTAAATTATGAAGAATCTAAGCAAAGCATTAAGAACCTGAAAATTTTCGTAAGGAACAAAATTAAAAGTGCTTAATTAATAACTCTTATATCTGTCCTTCTACGAGGTAGCGAAAGCGATAAAATATTTCCACAGTTCAAGAATAGACTAGAATCAAGCCTGCTGTTGTTCTACATTATAATAATTCCATGGACGATATATGTAAGCTACGAAAAAGTTACAAAATTGGAAACTAAAGGGAAATTTTCAGTTTTGATCAGAAAGAGACATTTATAATTCTGTGAAAAAGCATAAGAAATGTAGACTTGGAGAAATTGATACCCACATGACATATTAAAGGTAATGTGTGGTGGACAGTCAGAGATAAATTGCTTTTGTAACTGAATGACAGAAAATAAATTTGGAGAGATAGAATCGGGATAAACAAAACTTAGGTTTATAAAAATAGGATGTAGTGAAGGGCCATTATCATCTATGTTCTGAACGGATGCGTTACAATAAAAAGAAGCAGGTTTGAACCGAGACACTTTTAAACAAACTCCAAAACAAACTCAGGGACATTGTAGTATCGAAATCTACAAATAAAAAAGCAATGCATACATTTATTCACACACTATCAACAAAATAAATCACTTTGATAATGCCTTATGGATGAAAATAAATCACTTTGATAATGCCTTATGTATGAAAATAATAAATACGGAGAAAACCGCCAAAAGTAATACTTTCAGATGTAGTATAAACTCCGCCATGTATAAATGACATGTGTTATTTGGTGTGACTATATGCGAAAAATTAAGCATGTACAAAATAATATATGACATCTCAAAATACCAGCTCTTTTAGTCAAATGTTAACAATGTAACTCGTTACCAAAATAGAAACATACATAGAGAGAGTAGAAACGCTAAGCATTTAGTGATCACAAGAATCGTCTATTAGGGAATCTACAATGTATTTAATCACTTGACTTGTAAAATCGGAATAATGGTATTTCTGTTCCGTCACAGAAATTTCTATTCGTACGAATATTTCTACTAAGTCTGTTTAAATTACATTAATCAATATCATTTATTTTTGTAGCACTAAATAAATAGGTGTGCTAAATTTAACCCACTTATTGTAATTAGTACATATCTATAAGTCTATAATTCATCAATGCTTAGAATATTGCTGCCACATATGATACGGTGACCATGTTATTTATCTTTATATCGCTGATAAAATCCAAAGAATCAGCAATATTACTAGCCTGACCTGGCTTCAGTAACTTTATCACCGCGGTAAGGATGCTATCCTGTGTCTTTTGTATAAATACTTTCATGATAATTGTTGGGATGAGCTCTTCACCCTGGCATCTCGACATTTTTTTTTTTTTACTATTTAAGCACAATATTAACCTAGCGTTAAGATCTCACCAGTTGAATGTTCCGTTGGCTAGAAGTAGCGGTAAGTTCCATGCTAACATTTTCTTTTATCACACTACTCGTTTACGGAACTCCCTTCCAGCTCCATCCTTTCCACCCAACTTTAACCTGAAAAATGTTAAATGCAATGTCATTCGCTATTTACTCTCCCCGTGATCACTCTTTTGTCTTCTTGTTCATTATTAATGTTTCCGTTTCTAATTCTTCCATACCCTGTGACCTTTTGTGTCTTAGTGGCTTTATCGCCTTTCATGGGGTGATACCGATTTTAAAAAAATAAAAACAGAACTTATTTATTTAAAATGCTTGTGAGTTAATCCAATGATCGATTTATGAATATTCAGGATTTCTCAACGAAAGGAAGACAAGAAAATATTATCATATAGGAATGCATCGTCCTACATAGCTTTAAAATACCATTTTCTATTTATTTATTTGTTTATATATATATATATATATATATATATATATATATATATGTATATATATATATATATATATATATATATATACATATATATATATACATACATACATATATATATATATATATATACATATATATATATATACATATATATATATATATACATATATATATATATATATATATATATATATATATATATATATATATATATATATATATATATATATATATATATACATATATATATATATATATATATATATACATATATATATATATATATATATATATATATATACATACATATATATATACATACATATATATATATATACATATATATATATATATATATATATACATACATATATATATATATATATATATATATATACATATATATATATATATATATATATATATATATATATATATATATATATATATATATATATATATATATATATATATATATATATATATATATATATATATATATATATATATATATATATATATATATATATATATATATATATATATACATACATATATATATATACATACATACATATATATATATACATACATATATATATATATATATATACATACATACATATATATATATATATACATACATATATATATACATACATACATATATATATATATATACATACATATATATATATATATATATATATGTATGTATGTATGTATATATATATATATATATATATATATACATACATACATATGACTATGTTCACATACCTTTCTGTTAAACGCCTATATGTGTACGAAGTAAACCTACGTTTCAGTTACTTCGTGTACCTGTGCATATAAGCTTTTGTGAGAATAGGAAGACTTCCAAAGAGTAATATAAGTAATCGATCTTTTCGTCCTCGTCAAATCCGTATAAAAGAAACCTTGATAGTAAATAAGACAAGACAACAAAGGCAATTCTGACTAACGCTTCCCACCTCTACCTCTACCAGTGAGCAGGTGAAGAGAATTTACCGACATTAAAGGGAACATAACTCTGCGTGTGACAAGAAATAAAGTGAATTTCTTACCTCCTCAAAAGGAAGATTTCCTTTTTTTCCCCTTTATATTTCCCCATTGCTCTCAAGGGAGATCATCGTACGGACTCGGCCAACTTGTTGGGAATTTCCGACGCTTTCCCGCCCTCCTCGCCTTTTCCGATTATGGATTTTCATAGAACTGCAGATGCTCATCTCGTCGACAAGTCACTTGACGCTATTCACTCGCAGCTTGCTTGAAAAACGCTATATCGAAAATGACAGCAAGAAAATTAAAGACAATGTGAAGAAAGACGTAAAACTGAAACGAAGAAAAATATCACAAATATTAAAAGGAAAGAAAACTTTTTATGATCACTAATTATTTTATGGACGCTCATGGTGGCTTTTTTTTATCTACCTAATTAGATTTGTCTCGAATTTCACCTACTTTTCTTTTTGGTTTCTTTGTTAATTCATTTTTATATCGTCCTTTCTGCTTATATAACGTATGTTATTCTGTAATCCTTTCTTTCTTTCTTACATCATTTACCGTCTTCTTTCCTATTGAATCTTAGTATTCCGTTCTTTCTTCGTCTATCATTATCTTTTAATTACACCTGTGTTGTTTTCCTTCATTCCTCAATATTTCTTTCTGTTTCTTTATTTTCTCCATTTAATTTGTTCGTTCTTTTTTTCGTATAAATGCCATTTTTTAATCTTACATTAATTCTTTCTATAAATTCTCTTTCTTTTCCCCTACCTTATATCTTCTTTCAATCTCTTTTCTTTTTCTTAATTTCTCTTTCTTTTCTTTCTTTCTTTCTTTCTTTCTTTCTTTCTTTCTTTCTTTCTTTCTTTCTTTCTTTCTTTCTTTCGTTCTGTTTGTTTGTAGCTGTATTTAATACTTCTCAATGTATTTCTGTTTCTATCTCTTTATTTCTTTCTTTTTTCATCTTTCATTCTTTCGTCCATACATTCTTTCTCTGTTTTTTCTTTTCTTTCCTATATATTTTTTCAACCTTTATTTTTATCCATTTCCTTATCTATGTCGTTCATTCTTCCATTTTGCATATATCATTTTTTTCATTCTATCTTTTGTATATTACTATATGTTTCCAATCTTTAAGTTCTTCATTCTGTGTTTTTTCTCTTCCTTTTTTCCTTCTCTCTTCCTTTCTTTTTCCACACTTTTTTTTTTTAATTTTCTAATGATTTATTTGATTCCGTATATTTCAATTTCCGTTTTCTTTATTATTATGAACTCAAAAATGACTTTGTAAATAGGATGGTATAAATTGTATACTACTAAGTATTTTGAAGTTAATGGGTGAAAGAAAATAGCCTTTCATCATATTCTCACACATATATTAGCAAGATCGCTTATCATTAAATGTTTAAATAAGTGTACGCATGTTTGTCATGTACCACAATCTCTGTCTCGTTTTCATTCTCTTTCTCTCTATACGTCTTTCTTTTATGAAGATCTTATTTTTTCTTCCGCTTTCTACATCTCCTTCTCTATATTCTCTCTCTCGCTCTACCATTCACTACCATTTTAACTCATCTTGCACTAGCGTTTCTATTCCATAGATGGCTTACCAGAAAACCATTCTATCACATCCCTGGATTTGTGTATAGATTTCTTGCTGGATGTTCTAGTCACTCGTCATGAATTCAGCTATATTGTGCCACCAGCATTTACATTTATGTAAATGTGTCCTGCTAACATAGGTATGGTTATCTATCTCCCTGTTTCTCTCTCTCTGTACCCCCTACACTCATATATATATATATATATATATATATATATATATATATATATATATATCGGATCGATTTTAAATGTGAATTAGGTTTAAAGTTTTTTGTTTTCTTTTTTTTCTTTCAGATTTAAGAACTTAAGTCTTTAGCAATTTCTACCATGTAAATATTAATCAAACAATGTGTTGATGTTATCGAAGCTTATTACGAAAATGGACGTTCAAACAGAAATGAATTTCGTTCACTTCGCAATTTTTTTGGTCAACATAATCGACCAATCGAAAGTTCAATGGGAAACAATGTAACATTGTTGTAGAGAGGTTCAATTCCTGCGCACAATGACGACTAAATTTTTTTTCATTTTCGGCCACATTCTCGTGCACTGCAGTAATTTTTTCAGCTAAATGCGCATGCAATGGTGATTTCACATCTGACACCATTGTTGGAATTTACGAACAATTTTTTTTTCACTTGCAGTCTTGAATCTTCAACACGGTGTTTGATAGGTAATCTTTCCATGATTTAAATTGCCAAAGACTCAAGATGTTAACCTTGATAGAAAAAGAGGAAAATCATTAGACGCTTAAACATAATTCACATTTAAAAATCGGTACAAATTATTGGAACACTATATATATATATATATATATATATATATATATATATATATATATATATAATATATATATATATATATATATATATATATATATATATATATATATATATATACACACATATATATATTTACACATACATATGTGTGTGTTTGCGCGTGTGTGTGTGTGTGTGTGTGTGTGTGCAAATATATAGAAAATAGGAAAGAACACGTTAGGTAAATAATCCGGAGTTCTTTAGTATTTTTGTTTTATTTTTTAACAAACAGTGCTCGATACAAAAGTAGAGCTTAAATTATTATTATTTAAAAAAAATAAATTCCTTCGCTACATAAGATGTCTTCAAACATATATATATATATATATATATATATATATATATATATATATATAGATAGATAGGTAGATAGATAGATAGAGTTATCATGTTTGAAAAACAAGAGCCAAAGACCTCAATATAATTATTAAAATTAAACTGAATTAAAGTATCAAGCCCTGTTTCATCCTTTTTGGCTCTTGTTTTTTTGAAATATGAGAAGTCTTATCTATCTATCTATCTCTCTCTCTCTCTCTCTCTCTCTCTCTCTCTATATATATATATATATATATATATATATATATATATATATATATATATATATATATATATATATCGGTTCATATCTATGTCATTCTTTTCATATCTATCTAGAGCGGTTCATAGCTACATCCGTCTGTTTCTATCTATCTATCTATCTATCTATCTATGAAGTCTTTTTAATGTTATCCGTTGCAAACAGTCTTACCTGTACCGACACAGAGAATATTTTCATTTCATAGATGAATTATATCATATAGTAATTCGTACATAAATGATGAAGACGCAACTCCGGATAATTTCAAATTTCATCGTATTTACGAATAAGAAGAGTCTACAAACCTATTTAACCACTTCCTATAGATTTATAGAAAAGGACACTGTTTATTTAAACGTTCCATACCGCATCCCAGTGTAATAAGCTAATAGAAACAGCGTTATTGGATTCTATTCTCCGGCCAGTCTATTGTTGATGAGGCAAGACTATGTTGATGATATACATATGCATAGTTCAAATAAAACTCAAATTACTCTACCATGTGTTCCAAGAAGAAGGGCAAGATAAATATTTTATAATTTCGCCGAAAGTAAGTCGTTAAAGCTACTAAAATTCAAAGAGGTACTGACAGTGAAGGAAAACCAAGGAGTAAATGAAATGGGGAAATGGAAGACTATAAAAGAACGTCGCATTTAAATGTCTGAACATCGAACATGACAGGAAAGAAAAACACTGGAAGAAGTGTCCACAAGCAGGAAGTGCGACAAGAAAAGATATTAGCATAGAACATAAGGTTATATATACAAATTCAACCAGAATAATAACCTCGCTGCCAATCGAGTACTACGCCTGAATTCATAAAGCAGGGATATCAAAGATAAAAACTCATGATATTAATTACCATGAAAATATTTAAATATTACTTTGCTGTGATTGTAATATGAATGAAATCGTCATTGTCCATCTTTCTTTTTATTCTTTTAAGAATGTCTAAGTATATAACAGAAACACTAGACCAGAACTGCCAGTACTATTCAAGGCAAAGACGAACGGCATATTTGTGTAGGTGCAAGATAATTTCTGTCGAGTGAAAATTCCCTAACACCACAGAGTGGAAACAATTTATTAGAATCAGACCAAGCAATTTATTCAAAACAAACGTTCTACTTCATAACATTACATTAATTGAGACCGTAAAGGTGAAATGATTTATTCTCCGGAAGGTTAGATGCCATGACGATGAACGGCAAAAACATGTTCCCTACTCCGAGTAAAATAGAAGAGTTTCAGTCTGAGACGGCCATGACATACCTTGCCTCATTTATCTACATTGATGTTCATTTTAGAGATCACCTGCCAGTTTAACCTATCAGACTTACCATTAGAGCAGGCGTAAATACTTGCGTCGTCATGATAACAATCGAGTCAGAAAACAATTACATCGGAAATGTCGTTGATAAAAATTAGAAACATATTATGTGCAAAGATAAAGATCTGTGGAACGCGCATGAACAATTAATTTCCGGGATGGATCAGAAAGACTGAATAAAATAAACAGTACGACGAGTAATACCATAACCCTTCAGTTTGTGAAAAATATCAGTATATCAAAACCTGTCAAACCCTTTCGAGATATATAAAACAACAGCTTAACAATTCGTATCTGAATAGTAACAATTCTTTTCTAAAACTTGACAGTTTATTTCAGAAACAGCCGTTAACACACCGGCAGTAGACGTAGACAAGCGAAAGCAATGTTGATTGTCTGACGAAAGGCCCTGTGAAGTGAGATGTTTATTCAATTTGGAATGATATTTTGCCGAAAATAGATAAAAAGACAATAAGTTGGTAATTCGAGTTATGAATCAATAGAAAACAAGACATTTATTTCAGAGCTTAGAGAGAAAATAACGACGGTCTAGATGCAATTTGCTTTAGGAAAATTGCAGGAATATCATCTTTTATGGGGATCACGTTTAGAGATGACAACAGAATCAACGAACGTAATTACGCCCATACGACTCAGTAGATACTCACTTCTAAAGGGAAGCTCAGGCATTGGGATTCTAGGTTAGTCATAAGTAGAGTTGAAAGGGAAATCGCTAGCAAAGTTTTCCGTTTAATCAGAAGATGAGAATATTTTAAAATGTGTGATGAGAGGAAGGAATGAAGACCTAAATTTACTTAACCCATAGAGAAACTAATAGATACGAGATTGAAATATGTGAAATGCTATAAGGTGGCTCATCCTATCAGCGAACAAATATTTAGCATCACTGAGAATATGTCATCAATAATTACTAGCGGAAACAAAAATGCGTATGTTATGATCTGAACCATTCACTTTGACATTTCAGGAAAATATTAATTGTGTTTAGAGCGGCTTAATCTGCAGTTTCATCTGAGATTTCAAAGATAATGCAAAAGCATTGATGCCGGCTTTGACCAAAGAAGAACATTCATTTGCATAGTATCCATTTCGAAGTTTAAAGGTTTAACGCAAAGGCGTATCCCGAAGATAATCCCGAAATGATTCACACGCATTTCACTTGTAACATAAGTGTTTTGGGAATCCGGAGGTTCATGTATAATAGATGAGTCAAAAGAAATATCAAGAGAGTG